AGAACTTGATTATTAATTTGACCAACAATTACGTGAGTTTTTCACMTAAGCCAATTAATGAAATATTAATATATTTTCAATATTTTTTATTTGCTGCAAGAAAAAATAGTTAAAACTGTATGTTCAATTTTTTATCATTCTTGCATAAAGACAATAATTTCGTCATATGTAAATAGAAAAAATAAATACATGCCAAAAAATAGCACAAAGTGAATCAAATTAAAAAAAAAAATTATATCAAGTCTGCACAATACTGTATTTAAATGAATTCACAAACAAACTAAAAAGTAAATATTTTGCTTTTGATATATTATAATATAAGCTAAATGTTTAATTTTGTTATTAAATAAATACCAAACCATTTTTTTATATTTTATATTAATGAATTATTAAATTATAGAAAAACTATCAAACTATTTATACAGTTTAATAATATACATATATTGTATAATATCATGGGTGGTTAATGCATAAAATGATATGAGAAAACGCTTTTCAATCCATATGTAAGTAGGATACAGCGAGACCTCTAAATACCGGTACACTCTTGTAAACTGAAATGTGGCCCACTACTCACTGGGTTCTATTTGTAGTTTGTTGTCAAAAAAAGTCCATTATTTGAAAGTGTACTTTATTCTTGAGATATACGTTAAAGGAGGTTGCATTGTAATATATTTTAGTAAACTTAATTTGGTGAAATGATTTTTCATTATCTAATGATAATTTTTTTTTCTTCATAATTTTAGATTGCTTATAGATGAATAATTTGATTCAAACATTTCTAGAAAACTAGWCCAACGACGAATCGCTATACAAATTGGCTTCCTTAAAAATTGTACTTAAGCAATTTAATTAWTTGTATTAGGTTATTGCAAAAAAAATAATTATTAATCGATTAATATAATTGTATAAATTATATAGCCATATAGGTACATTATAACTACATGACATGTAATGTAAATTAATTTTAAGATAAACGTATTATATTTAGTATAAATAATTCACCACACTATTATGCGATTAACTGAAACACTTATTAGTATTAGTATAGCTTAATTATARTAATGCTGGTATCAGAAAAAATCATTGAATGTTCAYGGCTCACCYTYATTGAAATTCCCAAATTTTTTTGGGAAAATAACAATAATTAATATTTAGTCTCTATAAATAACATTTTCACATCATTCCAAGTCTGTAAAAACGACAAATACGTATGGATTTAAAGCTTTCTCAGTACGATCTTCAATCCGTGACATCACTAGGTTGGTAACCCACTTCTTTTTCATAGTCATATTGCTCATCCGGAAATCTAATATGTGGCTTCAACTTATTGATGTGATATGACGAGTGATAACATGAACACCGCACATTTACCATGGGCTCCGGYGATGGACTTTTCCGATCTGCATTGGTCGCTACCTCAATCGAAAACCATGGTGTGTCACCGGTTTCACCATAATGTTTCCTAGGCACTCTCYTTGTACGCGMTGCGCTGCTCAATATATCGTCCGTAGTTGTCGTCGTGTTGYTGATCACGTCTGGTGTAAGCGATTGGTTGGATGTAACTGATTCAGTTGTCTTCTTGGTAGTTTCCTCGGTCATCTTCTCGGTCGTCCTTTCAGTYGTCCTCTCTGTTGTCCTCTCAGTGGTCTTCTCAGTGGTCTTCTCAGTGGTCTTCTCAGTCGTCATCTCGGTCGTCTTATCGGTCGTCTGCTCCGTTATCGGACTGGTGACAGACTCGTCTTCGTCAAGCAAATGCTGCTTATTTTTCCAATCAGTCATCTTCAATTCAACTGATGCCGGATTATTACTATGTGGGATCAATTCAGTGATCATAGATGGTGACAGCAAGTTTTTTGACATTTTCAAGTCAAAACTGAAAGCTGAGCTTACCACGGACTTCTGCATCTCTTGGAATTTAATTGTATTTGCTATTTCGGTAGGCGATACGCTGTATTTGTGTAAAGGATTTTCTTCCCGTGTGATGTGTAACAAGTTTGATACGTCCGTTGAACGTGCTATATTATGATATGAAGGTTTCCTAGCATTTCGTAGATTCACGATTGACGACATTATAGGATATCCTCCGGCTTGCTGTATTCCAGTAAAAATTAGGTGCACAATGACAATYGTTTGGAACATTTTCAAGAGTGCCATGAAAAACTATAATAASATATTGTTAATGCTGATTAAGTTTACAAATTATAGAAATTTTCATTTAAAATTGAAAAATTGATACGTTTAACGCGCAAATTGGGAACGCATGCAACTGAGATCTAAAGAGCGACCATACGGATCCTGTAAATAGTTTTTTTTTTCAAATAAAGAAACTTTAAATTTTGAATGTTATAGTACAAATAAATACTTATACTGATACTAATACTATTACTACTAAATAATAATAATAATAATAGTAAAAATAATAATAACTTTACGTATAAATCTGAAATTCTTTAAAATAATCAAGATACAATCCAAGGCAATCAATCTGATTCATTTTTTGACAAAAAAAGAGGTCATCTTTCGTATGCTTTCTGATCAGCTTGCGTTAATTGTAAAAAGTTTTTAATTGTTAGTTTTTATTGGTTGCCAAGGGTTTTTATGGATATTTTATAAGTCTTTGTAACGAATAATAATAATAACAATAATAAAAAAGTGGGCAAGTGTGTATCGCTCTGCTGTATAGTAGAGAATAATGGACGTGTTAAATTTGAATGCAATATCAGGTATCATTCCATATGAAAAACAATTCTGAACGGAGATAATTTT